GTGGCAATCTGTGCATTTGGACAAAAAAATGTTATTGATATGTCAATACAGATTGATTTGAATATAATCGTCTCCTTCAAAGAATACGGTTCAAAACCTGCATTAAATAAAGGTTAATACTTAACCTGTTATTTATCTAAGATGTCGTTCCGAAGAGTTTTGTGACTGCCAATGGAATACAAAGTCAATAATTCGTTTTTCTGATTTACCAATAGTTGTCCAAAAGGCAGATTGCCGGCTTTGATAATAGTCGACTCAAGTATCCTTTACAATGCATATTCAGTTGACTCCGACCGTGTTAATTCATTACATTACATTCATATGTTACTTTGTGTTGTTCTGGCCGATTTTCTCTATTCTATAAATCTTGTTTTTTTTTTCCAGTGAAGGACAATTTTTTTAGCTCCGTCGGAGATCACATGTAACACGAAAAACAAAACTTTTTTTTGCTTAAAAAATATTACTGTTTATTGTTAAAATATGTACAAACATACCTTTGACATTTCAAAACAATTGATACAGTAGTTTTTTTTTCATTTCCAAAATTTGCCTTTTTTAGTCTGTCACACTAGGTGTGCCCCTCAAACTTTGATCTTAAAGTATTATGAGTTTTCTTTATGTATATATTTCTTCTGTGCGTGTGTTTGTCACTGAACTCCTAAACGGCTGGACCGATTTTAATGAAATTATCTATGTACCTTCAGGTGGATTCGAGAATGGTTTAGATTTACAAATCAGCCCGACAGATGGCGCTGCACTCGGTATCTAGGCAAAACAATGTTTGCCGGATCAGCTAGTAATAATATGAATTGCGTAAATGATGAGATAGATATAGTAAGACTGACACACCTACATAATGTAATTATACCTACATAAAAAATAAACAACAGGCGTCCTATGATGATATTTTCGAGATTTGATGGAACTTTTCTCAATCATTGTAGACAGGTCCACAAAATATGCTCGTAATGATCAACTATTACAATTTTAATGTATGTATGTTGTTCTTTTTTTTTGTCACTACATTTTTACTAACATTTTTTTATTTTTTTATTATTTTTTATTGCTTAGATGAGTGGACGTGCTCACAGCCCACCTGGTGTTAAGTGGTTACTGGAGCCCATTGATATCTACAACGTAAATGCGCCACCCACCTTGAGATATAAGTTCTAAGGTCTCAAGTACAGTTACAACGGCTGCCCCACCTTTCGAACCGAAACGCATTACTGCTTCACGGCAGAAATAGGCAGGGCGGTGTTACCTACCCGGGCGGACCCTCAAGAGGTCCTACCACCAATAAAGAAGAACCAGTTTTTTAAGAAATCACTGTTACTAACATTAATATCTGATATAAATGAATTTAATAATAATAATAAAATTAATTTAATTTAATTTAATAAAGTTGTGTCGTACACGGCTTGATGGCGAAAAGTTTCGATCAACATCTTAAGAAACTTGCTGGGTTAAGGGCCTAATACAGAAAGCAGTTATCCTCGATACTGCACGCATTGTGAGGAGGTTTCGCACTCTGGACTCCTCACCACATGTGGCTTGTGTCGTAGACACCGCCATCAGCGGCAATCTATTTTTATATAGTGTTTTTAAAAATTGTATATTTAATATCTTTTTTAAAAAATATTATGTAACTAATAAGATTTTAAATAAATATAAATAAAAAATAATAATAATTAAGTACGTAAACAAATATTAACGCAACGATAATCACGACATTATTGGGGTAAATTTAAATTATCGGACTTTGGTGAGCGTGAATTTGCGTGCACACATGGTTGCAGGGGGAGCGCCCCGCGCGCGCCACCCTCGGGGGTGGGCGGGTCACGCACCCCCAACTATCTGCCCCCTCCTCGCCCCCAACTATTTCGGGGTGGGCAGCGGCCGTAAAAAATATAATAGTATTCCACCTGCGTTGCGAGCGGCAGTCCAATTGAACTGCGCTTAAATATTGGATAACGTCGCCATTTTGTTTTCGGTTATCATGCGTGTACATGTTAATACTATATATTAATACGTGAAGCAAAAACTTTGTATACATTTTTACGAAAATTGCACGGACGGAGGAGCATGAAATTTTCCACGCTTATAGAGAATATGGAGAAGAAGTGCAGTATGCTCATATTTTTCAAAATTATGCATAACAAATACAATAAATCAATATAAAAAGACATTACGCACACTACCATGTATCTGACACACATACGTATGCATACTATTTGTTTATTGTCAAACTTTTCTTATTGCTTATAGTCTGTGATCAAATTGAGAATAGATTAAATATTGTTTGTCTTTATTAATATATTTGTCTAAAGTTTAGCCTTGGCGAAATCTGTGCTCATAGATATAGTCTTTGACAATAGAACCATAATAATGTACAAATTTATAATTTCAATTAATTATAGTCGAATTTCGACTACTGGGGGACTACTTGTTATGTTATGCCCCTCACACTAGTACCTAAGTCATATATCAATTCTCATAAACACATAATGTACTCTAACTCTTAGTTCTTAAGTTCTAAATCATTGTTACTATATAACATACTTATTCCCTCATGTTACTAAATCATATGTATATTGTTTACTTTACTTCAGATCTTCATTTGGAATTAGAACATTTGTTAATATTGTATTCCTTTCACATTGGTAAAATTCCGTCATTTACTAATTATGTCCTTACGGATTCTAAATATGTTTACCAATAAGGTTCATAGTCTAAATGACTCATTTACTAATTGTTTAGTAAATACTATTCATGTATAAATTCTCTTTCTCCTTGAAACTTAGGAGTTCGTCATCAATCTTCAAGCTCATAACATCGTAACTCTGTCCGTGTAATATCAGATTTTTGTAAAGGATAAATAAATTCAGTGTATATTAAAATAAAGTTTTTTTTAAAACTACAAAACCGCTCACCGCGTAACA